CTAGGGGTGGGAATGACTCCTGGCTGGCCCTTCCCTCCCTGCCCAGGTGGAGGAGCCACCATGCCCCGCGGCACCCGAGGAGGAGGAGGAGGTGGTTCGGGTGCTGACGCTGCCCCTGCAGGCTCACCATGCCATGGAAAAGATGGAGGAATTTGTGTACAAGGTGCCCGCAGGGATCCCTTGGGACTGGGGTTGGAGCACATTCCCAAATCCCAGCGCTGGGAGGGGTTGGGATGTGGCTCTGCCCTTGGATGGAGCTCTGGTGGCTCCACAGTGTGTTCCTGCTCCCAGCAGCGTCCCTGGGAAGGTGGTGGCAGGATGGGGTTGGTCCAGATGTGGTGGGTGAGGACCTGGAGCAATCCTGTGGCTCTGAGGGTTTGGGAGCACCAGGTGTCACACCCGGTGTCACCTGTGGGCATAGTGGGTCAGTGAGCCATGGCACAGCCAGGGCTGCCTCTTCCCTGACCATGTGGGAATTCCCATTGCAGGGAATAATCCTTTGGGTGTGGAAGGGTTAAAGCTGAGGGGGTGGATCACCCCTGACTCCCTGAGAATCACTCCTGGGGGACTGGGAGTGGCCTGGGGTGATCCCCAGAGGCTCTGGGCTGCCCACGGGTGATCCCTGGATGCTCTGAGGTGCCCAGGGATGAGCCTTGGAGATTCTGGGGTGAGTCCTGGATGCTCTGTGGGTGCCCAGGGATGATCCCTGTGGTGCCGAGGGGTAGTCCCTGTGGGCTGTGGGTGCCCAGGAGGCGGTCCCTGTGGCCTGGGGGGGCCCAGGGGTGGTCCCTGTGGACTGGGGGTGCCCAGGGGTGGTCCCTGGGAGCTCTGTGGTGCCCAGGGGTGATCTCTGTGGGTTGTAGGTGCCCAGAGCTGGTCCCTGTGGATGCCCAGGGCTGGTCCCTGTGGTGCCCAGCAGTGGTCCCTATGGTACCTAGGGGTGGTGCCTGTGGTACCCAGGGGTGGTCCCTGGGGGATCTGTGGTGCTCAGGGCTGGTCCCTGTGGTGCCCAGGGGTGGTCCTTGGGGGATCTGTGGTGCCCAGGGTTGGTCCCTGTGGGCTGTGAGTGCCCAGGGGTGGTCCCTGGTGCCCTGGGTACCACCCTGCCCGTTTGCAGGTGTGGGAGGGGCGCTGGCGGGTGATCCCCTACGACGTGCTGCCCGACTGGCTGAAGGACAATGATTACCTCCTGCACGGGCACAGGCCTCCCATGCCCTCCTTCCGTGCCTGCTTCCGCAGCATCTTCCGCATCCACACCGAGACTGGCAACATCTGGACACATCTGCTGGGTGAGGGGCAGGATGTGCCTGGTGTGGGTCCTTGGGCATGGGGTGTCTGCGTGAGGGGGAACAGGGCTGGGCTCAGCCACTGCTCCTCAGGGCTGGGATGGGAATGTGTGTCCTGGGCAAAGCCTTGGAGCATGTTCCTCTGGAATCATCCAGAGGAGGCCATGGAGATGCTCCCAGGGCTGGAGCCATGGGAGAGCTGGGGGTGTCCAGCCTGGAGAAGAGAAGCTCCAGGGAGACCTCACAGCCCCTTCCAGTACCTAAAGGGGCTCTAAGAGAACTGCAGAGAGACCTGGGACAAGGAATGGAGGGACAGGACACAGGGAATGGCTTCCCAGTGCCAGAGGGCAGGGACAGATGGGATA